TTGATATGTAGGCATCCCAGTCCTTGCTATAATAAAGATAACTAGGTACTTTGTTAATAATACATCCCACCAAGCCAACCCACAGCACACAGACATTAGTAATCTCTCTTCATTGTCTGCCTTGAACAACCAAAACAGGATGGCATTATCAAATGCCTTCCAGGCACCAATATATTACCAATAGGCTGTATTTTATAATATATTGGAAGTTTTTTTTCTGTAGCCCAAAAAGGATAAAACAGTTTACATGAAACTATATCCCATCTAGCTACCTCTTCCTCTTCACCATGCTCAACAGAAATTTCTACTTCCAAACCATTTTGTTGGGCCCATTTGTACAATACAGTTACATGCCCCAAATAAATAAACAAATATGATGTATGAAGCAGCCCTCAGGCTTATTCATTAGACCTTCTTGAAGAGCTTTTTTATTATTCTGGCTACAAACATATTTTAAAAGCTATTGTATTTCCATTGGGGCCATCATATCTTCTAGAATATTCAGCCACTTTATTTTTTCGAGCAGCTGCCCATTTGTCTGTGTTATCTGGAATTCATCTTAGGCAAAACCAAAAGGGGGAGAGGCATGTGAAGGTCTGTTTGTTCTTGCCCAGGTTTTTGTTTTTGTTCCTCTCTATTTCACATGGCCGAATGTTCATATAGAGAGAATCGTTCTTAAGAGAAGCAGTTCTTCCTTTTGGAACAGAAAGCAACATCTGTTTCCTTGGAGAATCCATCCAGGATAAGAACACAAGCCTCGCTGATAACAGCCAAGTTCAGGTTTTGCTAGCAAGAGCCCTTCCTGGTTTCTTTCCCCCCTCCCCCTTCACCATTTGTTTGTTTTTGCTTTCCCAATACATCTTGCTATTCCTCCCTGTAAAAGGCATCTAGCTATTATTCTCCCTTGTTTGAGAGTGAAGGGAGAGCTAATGTTCGTATGCCACATTAAACAAGATGCGAAGATGCACCTGCATCACAGAGTTCCTGAAGGCATTGTATATCTTTGCAAACTAAATATGGTTAATCAAATATTTAAGTTTTTATTCAAATTGTAAAAGAAACAGACAGCCAATTGTTTTTCTGCTTGATCTTCCTTGTCAGGCACCCTCTTTGCATCTCAAGAAAAATAGCCTTGTTCAGCCTCGGGGCATTTGCATAAAGAATACTGAAGCACAACAGTAGATTGTGGGCTTGGTTTTGTTTTCTTGTTGTAGGGCATAAGATTGTCTTGCCAGGTGAAGGTTATATGCTTTTTTCTTCTCTTCAGAAAAGTAGTCTAACAAAATAATAATAATAAACTTTTAAAAGTCAGATGGACAATTCCTATCCTGACTGAACACTTGTTCTGGCTGCAGCACTGACAAACAAAACAATACATCAAAATGAGAGCATTTGAATCAGAAGGGATTTTCTCCCTCATCTCTCTCTGACCAAAATAAAATCAATGAAAACTTGCTCTGTAACATACAAGGTGACAGAAAGGAAGTTGAATTCAGCATGCAGGCATATGATATGCAACAACAGTTTCTATAAATTTGGAGATTGTTAAAAGCAGGGAATATATAGATATTGGAAGCAGCTGTGAGCTCTAAAACACTTACATACATGTATACACACATTGCCATTTCATTCGACAAGTACTCATGTTTGCTGGGGGAACATCTTAAAAGGATTTAAAAGATGAAGGGATAAAAAAAATAAAGACCTCTTCATATAATAATTCTGACAAGGATGCATCCAGGCCAGATAAAATCTAGCTGCTTAACACCCTCATGCGCTATCCATAAATATCCCAAATCAGGATAATCAATGTGTAATGTATACTTATATATGGGCAGGTGGGAGTGTGCCAAAAACCTACATTTAATATCTGTGTCTTCTTTTATCATCCCCCGACTTCCTGCTCCTTACATCCCTTTCTTTTTCCCTTCCTGCTTCTGCTGCTGTTTTAAATACGGCTGCTTTATGCTTTGTAAACAGATAACACTCAGATTCTCGGGTTGTTTGAACACTGTTTTAGGTTCAGCTGCAGTACACAGTTTCTCTGATCTTTTATGTTCCTGAGCAGATGTCTTTCATTAATTTATGGATTTATCATCTTTTCTTTTCTTTTGCCCTCCCCCACTTTTTTTTACACCTGGCAGCTGGCTCAAGTTTCAGCAGTTATTGTCTATTTTGCATTACACATAGAATTGAATGTCATCTGTCTTCACAAAGCTATGGTGAAGAGTACCGAGGCAAGCCACATCAGCTGTTGGGGCAGAGCCTGTTTGCCTTCTATTTGCCTTCTCATCCTCCAACCAGCCCCCCTCCACAACCCCCAACCCGCTTACTACCTCTTCCTCGCTCTTCCCTCCCCGCTTTTTACCTCCTTAATATTTATTTGTGCTCATTTTCTTTCCTGACCTTGAATGGAGCTTAGCTCGTGTTCAGTACAGCTGTATGTTTACTGAATCTATTCCATCATGAGTCATTGTGCGCGTGTAAGTATCCTGGAAACAGCCAGTGCTTTCTTGGAAGAACGGTTGCTTTTCAGCACAAGCACTTAAAAAGAAAATTAACCAATTGGTCAACTCAGTTTTAGCAAGGGTGTTTTTGTTATTGGCTTTAAATAGTTGCTATTATGGATGCTTTTTAGCAATAATCTAATCTTTGAAATAAAGCATTTGAGAAGGGGATAGTCAATTTAGATTGCTTTGAGAATGGTAGGTTTGGGGAGGGGGGTTAAAATGGTTTTTGGGAATTAAATTTTGAAATGATATAGATAACATACGTAAGAATGCCAATAATTTCCTGGAGCTGCAAAGTCCGGAGATGGAGACAGTTTTAGGATACTATGTCAGATTTCTAAGTTCAGATACTCTTGACAGAGTCACTACCAAGCCTATCTTGCAGGGTTGTTGTGAAGCTGAAATGGGGAGAACATCCACGTTCTCTAAGCTCCCTGGAGGTTGGGAAAGATCTAAACATTTACTTAAAAAAATAGCATAGTGGATAAGGGACTTCCGCAGTATAATTTCTAAAAATGAATAAGAGCTGATGAAGAGAGCATCGATTTTCTTGTTTGACCCCAGCTGATTCAATGGAACTACACAGGAACAGTTCCCAAGAAACCTTGTTCACAAATCTCAAGTTATCTGCTTCATTTATTCATTATGAGCACTTTGTATTTTTGTTCAAAATTTTTTTTGAGAGAGAAGGTGCCACTGTAAACATGCCATCATCTCCCTACATAGTTACATAACAAAATAGACTTCTGTCAAAGAAGTCTGAACTTGTCTCAGAATCTTACAGCTCTGCAATAGGTGACAGCTTGCTACTATTCTTTCACTTATGCATTTTGACAGATGGCAGTGCCAGAGTGTAATGCTCTTTTAGACTTCTCTATCAGTCTAATGGAGGTAACTGGAGGTTCTTTCAACTCTTCTCTTGGCACAAGAAGTATGTCAGTCATAAATTATCTTCTTTGTAATCATTAAGCATCTAAAACAAAACAAAAAAATGCAAGTTCAGTTGAGCAGTTTGCAGTGTGCTTACATAAATCAAGAGCTTTAAACTCATAAGTTTTAAAATCCTTTTTATAAGAATTAAAACCAAACCATGTTTAAAAATAAATTATTCCTTTGTTTACAGTCCACAAACAAATTTCAAAGACTGCAAATCGGTACATGAACTATGTTAAAAAGTGTATCTCCTTAAACCACAGCCACCCAAGGGCAATATTAAATATATGTTCTTGTATTTATCACAAAATTTGACGCATAAACATGCCACATTCTGCAACAGATAAATAACTGTTTAATTCTATATTTACTCTTTATAAAATATATCTTACACATAATTCTATGTTGTTACAGTATATTCTTTTAAGTAGAGATATATGTTCTTCTGCCATTCTGCTAAACAAAGATGCTTATGCTTCTGAATTAGTTTGAATTTGTGTGATCTTTCTCCACCATAATGCATATTCTTTAATAAGTGATATTTGTGTGTGCATGTTGACTTTCTTTAAAAGAAACAGTCCTCTAAGAAGCCACTGTGAGCTCTCTCAATTGACCTTGTGGGGGCCACATTGATTTTTGTCACGTGCATCTTCATTTCTGATAAATTATAAAGCCATTAATTTAGAGAGGAAATGGCAGGGCCAGCCTGCTGCACAGATGTGACCAAAACTGCCCTAGCAAACAGTACACAAAAGAGTGCCAAGGAACCAGGGGAAAGGAAGGGAAGGCAAAGGAGGGAGATTGGAAAGCTTAGATTGTTATGGTTAGCTTCACATTCCCTTGGGAACACTTTTGGTTGTTTAGGTTGCAGACCCAAAAGGTAATGATGTCTGCACGATAAATTGGTGCTCTTCTAGAGTAGGTGACCATAAATAAATTATTATTATTATTATTATTATTATTATTATTATTATTTCCTCATCATCGTGATTTATTTTAGCCCCAATATACTTAAATCAAAGCACCATATAAGACAATGGTTATTGTGAACTAATTTTAATTAATTGTTCCCATTCTTGAGAAGTTCAGGACAATTTCACTGATTTCTCAGTTGAAGAAGAAGAAGAAGAAGCAACTTACAAGGAGAAACAATATTTTTCTGTTTGTGCTGCTAGCATAGTTTGATGTGTATGATTTAGGAAGAAAAACGCATTAAACATTTTTAAAGCATGTACCTTATATGTGTATATATGTTCCTTAGCAACAAGTGAGCATACACACTTGCAAAATTTCTTCTGCCAACTCATAAGAACCAGCAGGCCAAATCCAATGTGTATTTCCTTTTGTGCATTTGATGTGTCTAATGCAGCCAGAAAATAATGCAGGGTTTTGCTGCTCTAAATAATATAATCTCAAATGTTCACCTTTCCTGAGAAATGAATGTGAAAATGTTCTTCAACCCTAGAAACCTCTTCTTCCAGAATAAGATAATCTTAAATGATGAGAACCAGATTTCAAGCAATGCATTTTTTTTCCTTAACGGCTTTCATCCTACATGCAGGAAGGTCTCTCGCCAAACCACTTGAAAAAGGCTAAGCTCATGTTCTTTTATACCCGGTACCCAAGTTCCAATATGCTGAAAACATACTTTGCAGATGTAAAGGTAGGAAAAGACCTTTTAAAATATTTTCCCCCTTCCCTTGTGTCAACTGCATGTTCGGTTCTCCTGAACGCTTATTAATATTAATTTGATTCAACTAATACTATATCTTGGAAAACTCTTATTAACTTTTTTGTGGGCAATGAAGCTATCCTAAGACTGTTTCATTCTCTTTCCCCCAAAAAATCCCCTTTACTCTCATTTTTTCATTCAATTTATTCCCTCCCCACTCCATCCTGATTCAATACAATGTAGACAATAACAAAAAAAAACGGACAGCAATTTATTTATCATTTTGGACACAATTGGATGGCACAGTTTTGCATCTGCAAAATTTGTACTGGTGGCATTAGCGTGCTATCCAAGAGCGTTTAGGAGAGCCGTTTTCAAAGTGCTCCTTTAATTGTTCCATTGCAGGCATGTTCCTCATATTCCGCTTCCACTGGCGCCTTCTGTAGAGACCCCCTTTTTCCCCCCTTCCGTCCAAAAAAGAAAAAGAAATGCTACATTGAAATTCTCTATGCAGTAGCTGCTTAAAAACAAAAGTGATGATTGTCTCTTATTTACAACTTAATTTGTTGTTGATGCAGAGTACACTGAACATAAGGAGGATGAATAAAATGACAGATTCAGGCCACATTATTCAAATGAGGATATGAAAGCTGTCGACATACAGCTGCATCCACCCCTCATTCTACAGAATATTAGGACCTCCTGATTTTTTCCCACTAAAGTAATTGTTCCTTCACATCGACTTGATTTTTTTGTGTTAATCATCTAAGTTTATTTTTTTAAAGAAAGAAAACAAACCTAGTTTGGGTTCTAATTATTATAATGATACACATGGTATCATTTTGTAAGCCTTTTAAAATAAACATCACATTAGTTCAAATTTGTTGTGTTGAAATTCTTATTGTACAGTACCATACTGCAGTTCTCTGAAAACTTTAAAAGCAGTCCCTTTCTTCTCTAGCAAATGTGGCTTCCCTTCCTTTTTAAATAAAAGTTTTGTCTCCTTCAGTGGGTGCCTTGGTCACTAACTTCCTAATTTTTCATTTATTCATTTATTTTACGTATACAAGTTCTGCCTAGTCCTTTTCCCATTGTTTAACAAATTGTCTTTTTCTTCTCATGTTTAAAAATGTATTTCATATTTCGTATATTTCTTTAATTTATCAGTGCATGAACCTGCACTTAATGATCACCCGCAACCATTCCCATCTTGATTATAACACTTTGATTTTTTTAATTCCATGTTTTGTCATTTACAATTTGCATGGTACATAAGTATATTCAATATTTGCTGTTCAAATAACTAGAGTTTCTGGAGAAATGGGATTTGATGAATTGTTTTAAATATAAACAAAATTGGGGGAGGGGGTATGGGCTAAATCTTATGTTAGTCTCAATTTGAGGAGATCCATTGAAATCAATAGGACTTCCAATAAGTAATTAACAAATCCCATTTACTTCAGTGGCTCTGCTCTGCTTTGGACTAACATTGGATTTATTACAAAGTGTTTACTACAGTCAATGATGCTTTATCAAAGGCTTGTCAAGTCTCTAAAAAAATCTGGACACTAATCTATGCCTAGTTAACAGGTATAAAAACTAATGTTTTTGTTGTGGTCTTAGATGCGCTGGAACTGCTATGGAGACTTTGGAGCCATTGATATACAATTTGGCCAAAGTATGGCTCAAGTGAATCCCACAAGAGGGTTCTCTGCTGTTCTCTTTCTAGTAGATGCAAATGCAACCAGTTGTACAGTAATAAGTTTCACCAGCATTTAGTGCTTGTCATCTTATTCAGCATGTGATGAACTGATCTCGGTCTTGTTGCAATGTTGCCACGTTTATATTAAACATTTTGATGTTATGCCACCTTATGTTTATATAGCATCATTCATCCAGAAGAAGCCCAAAGTGCTTTTCAAACAGCCAATATAGGGACCATTCACCCACCACTGAAAGGCAGCCACTTCCGTGGTGGAAGGCAACAGCCATTCGGGGTCAGCAACATCACACACCAGTAGATGTAAATATTAGATACATTCCTCTTTTCTTGGGGAGCAGGGTTGGGAGGGTGGGTTTTCCAAGTTGAATCTCTCGAATGTTTTGTTTCATGGGTATAGTTAGTTAGCTTCTGTTTTTGACTTACTCTGTAGAGTTGATCAGGCTGTCCATGGGGCCAGAGCTGGATTAATGTTTATGTCAGGCAAGCCTCAGAGTAGAACCTTGTAAAGATTGTGAACATCATTGTCTTCTCTCTCTCTCTCTCTCTCTCTCTCAGTTTCTGTTTCTGTTTCTGTTTCTCTCTGTGTGTGTCTTTCTTCCACCCTTCATCCATTTGTATTTGTATTCCTTTTAAAGTTTGGCAAATTAGGATATACAAGAACGTGTCTTATCTCAAAAGATTAGAATATTATCAGCTAAATATGATGGAGAATGTAAACAAAACATTGCTGGCGTTTTTGCCAAGTCAGTAACTCAAAGCAGCAGTGGTAGGCAACTTGTAGCCCTCTGGATGACCTACAGTTTTCATAATGGTAGGACTTATCATTGACCATGTTGGCTGGGGAAACTAGAGTCCAGGGGGCACAGGTTTCCCAGTCCTCCTTCAGACAAGCTGCCATGCAGTGTCAGACATGGGACAGAATAGAGTGGGTTGGAGGAGAAAAGAGGTCTCTCTGTCCATATAGCTATGTACGTACAATTGACACAAAGTTATTTTAATGCGCCAATATCCATTCACAGCCCAGGAATCCCCTAATCCCTAGAAATCAACAGTATCCTCTATCTCAAAACAAATGTTTATGCCATTACTCAAAACAATATTCAATCACTGTCACACTCCAAAGGCAATGTTACTAGACACCACAGGGGCTGCTTTAAAATAATTGCAACTGAACTATTTTTTAAAGACAATTCTTATGAATGTTTCATCCAATTTCTTGGATGTATAGCAGTAGAGAAAATAGGTGAGTCATTGTGTCAACAAGACATTAATTTTTACAATATGGTAGCCTTCTTCATGGTGCTATTCCACAACTTCTTTAAGCACCAACCAGCATTACTTATGGAAACTGTAGTCCAATACATCTGGGAGGCACTGGTTTGGTTACTAGTAGGCATGAGCAACAAAACTAACAAAACTTTCAAAAATTTGTTTTAAATGGCAGTTTCTAATTGGTTCTGTCATAAAAATCACCAATAACAAAATATTAATGAAATTTTGAAAGTTTTGTTAGACTTCTGAAATTTTCACCACCAGAACTCTAGCAACACTGTAGAAGCAAAGCACCAGGACTCTCTCATTTTGTAAGTACTTTAGAACCATTTAGAACCATGGATTGCCCATGCCTAGATACCAGAGTTCTAGGGCACACCAGTTTGAGCAAGCATGTATTTGCCATTTCCATTGGTGAAAGAGGGCCTCAATGCAATTTAATGTGTGGATGAAAAAATAATAATAGATGCAGCTAGAGTACTATAAAAGAGTTCTCTTTGAATAAACTTGCTCAGACTGTTGTCCATATTTTTAAAGAAAAATCAAGACCAAAAAGTGGAGGAAATTTTTATTTTAAAGATGGTGAGGATTTTTTTAAAAAACAAGAAAAGCATCTTGAAGTATTTTGGTAGAGAACCTTTTAGTTAACCTGAAGGAGGAGTGAATGAAATACATCTTTATTGTGTTGTGATACGATGTGGACTCTTTCTGCCACATGAACCATGGCTGTGAAATCTTTTTATTTTTATTGCAGTCTGTGGGGAATAGCCAAGGATGCATGGATGAAACTTCCACCACAGATGATCGTCCTTGGTTTCCAGACTTTCTAGCACGACTCATTTTGCCCATTATAAATCCATTCCAAAAAAATCAAGAGGATTTTTCAGAGTGGCCTCTAAAGCAGCATGCGAAGCTCGAGTTGTAATAGCATGCCTGGAAAACACAGGAGGACTCCTTGGATTCCAGCCCATGCATTGCAATTTATCCTAATGCGTTGTACAATAAATAGACAAAGTCCAATTCAGTACTCTGTAGTGTTGCCTTGTTGGTCTTAATCCTCAAGGCAATTCACTTTTATGTAAAAGCCAAGTTAACAATCCTTTTTAAAATATATAAAAAGGGGTTGTTGTTTTTTTTAAAAAAAAATGCACAAATGAGCCTAAAACCATTTATTTGGAAAAACAATCCAAATTGGTTTCAGTGGATCAAATGCATTTGGTTAGACTCACTTAAAATTATCCTACTCATTTTCTGTCGAGCTTACGCATGAATTCCACCCTTGAGTTTTCTTCTTGTTATGATCTTCCTTGAATTAAGCAGCTGAAATTAGTCAGACTGGATAAGATGCAGCCATATTTTTTTGTCTTTTAACTTGGGGGCAGGGGGAGAATTCTCCTGAGTTAGTGTGGGAACAAAAAAAGGATTCTCCTTGTATCATCTTCTTTCGCTTCACTTGATGCCGATTTCAACGTATAAGCTAATAATTCTTAGACTACTAAATACAACAGATTCAGTGTCATTTTAGCTTTGAAGAACAGGCCCTTCCAGGCTTTTCAACCCGGCAATGTTAAATGATGTATCTCATTCCCTCCACCCCTTGAGTCAACTGCTGCCTAGCCAGATTAAGGTGTCAGATTGATTTGTTTTATACATCTTTTGACCATGCTCATTGAATATTTAGGAAGTTTCTTCAGCCCATATTGAGGCAGAGGTATCCCGTGGGAAGCATTAATCAAAGTCACAGAGACTCTTACACTGTGGAAACACAGACTCTTTATTGTAGCGATTAGTTTGGGCAGTAACACATTAACACACTACAGAGCTTTTCTTTTATAGAACAATTGATCCTTTTCTTGTACTTCACTACAGAAGGAGGGGGAGAATAATTAACTCTTTAAAGTTTAGCAATTTAGAAAAGAGCTGATTTATCTACATCAGAATATCAAGACAAGAGCAGGCATGTGTGCATGTGTGTGTGCATGTGCGTATGTGTACACACACACACACACGGAAAA